TTATTCCTTCTGTTTGATGACCAGATTCACACACATTTTTTACTTTGACTCTTAATAGTGAGGACTGCATTCTTTCATTATTTATTAAAACATAATTGAAAGGCTATTTGGATTCAAATGAGTGATTATGCGTTAGGTAATCTAGCCAGTTTATCTTTAGTTAGTAGTCTCCCTTGTGACAAATCAAAACATAAAGATTAATAAAAGTTAAGTGGAAGAAAAATATAACATTTTAAGGGATATTAAGATGTGAAGATCTTTATTTCTTATTCAGTGAACAAGACTGTTCAAACTGAGAATGGAAAATTGCTCTTTAAGTAATTAATTTATTTTGGGAATGGCATTCAGTGCTTTTGTTTTATCACCAGCCAGACTGCTTCTTAACAGCAAGACAGAAGCTTCTGTTCTAATGGTTAGACATAAGACTTCTTTGCATCTTAATCCTATTATTAGGGAAACTTAGGAGAAAAATACCAACAGAGTTGACTCAGATGTTATTTATCTATCTTATTCGTTAACAGGGAACAAAATTTTCTTGACTTCTCATATTTTCCTCAATTTTATATAGAGTATGTTAGTATTGCTAAGATACTAAAAATTTTACACTATTTTAGATTTTAACCAGATATTCAGGATTTAAAAATATTCTGGTAGGGAATCAGTTGTGGTTTAAAGGTCATCCTTTGTTTCTCAGTCTGGGTTCCATGCAGACTATCCCACTGCCAAGTGGGAACTTTTTTTTTTTTTACTCTTCTGTTGTATAATCTTACATTGAATACATCTTGTCCAGTATTTTTTCACTGTATGCAGTTATTTTCTTTGTGTTAAAACTATTCAAATTTAGCTAAAAGTTACATACATAGGTCACTCCAAAAGTAGTGCTTCATATTTATTTCTGTGGAAACAACAATGGATACGAAAAGCACAATAACACAATTTGATAGAGCACATTCTCTACTACAAAACACTATTTTTGAACATAGTCACCACCATTAGCTATGCATTGTTGCTAGCAATGACAACAGTCTGCATGCTCTGCTCATAAAAATCTGCACCAGCAAAGGTAATCCACTGTTTCATAGCTGATGGCATTGTTGCTGGGAGGATGTCACCTATATAGTCCATCTTTCATCAGCCAAATCAGGGAAGGTGCCTTTGGTGGATGTGGTAGGACAATCCAGACAAGACTGTCAGTGTGCTCCATGGTCTTCAAACTTGTGTGAGGCTGATGTTGTTATGTTGCAAGAGAAAGATCGCCTTCTTCTCTGCCCTGATTATGGATGTTTGAGCCTTCAGCTTAGTCAGGATCCTGACAAATGCATATGATGTTCTTTCTGTTCCTGTGCGAGCATTCATGGAATCCATCTGCTACAAAACCTGCAGTATGCCAGCATTGCCACCACTGTTTCCAATTCATTGAGCCCATATCCACGTCTTCACATACTTGCCCAGTCATAATCTGCCAATTATGAGTGAGCTTTTCAAGATGCTCTTCATCTTGTGCCGTGACAGCTGTGCTGTCACCATTGCTGAAACACAGCATCTCACCAACTCACTGTGCTCACATCCACTGTTTGATCTCCATTAACATTTGGCAAGTGTCAGTGAATGTCAGTGGGTGTCATTTTTTCCACAAGGAGGAAGACACACCGTTGCTTTAAGACACAGTTCCATATCAGATGCCATTTTGTTAGGCTGCCTCTCTGCTGTCATCTGTCACACAGCAACACTATACAACGGAATATTGTTTGGAGGGTTCAGCCTCTACTGCTGTACCTCTGATGCTGTGGGCCAGCAGAATAAAATAGGAGGCATTACTTTCACAGGAGCCTTCATATATTTAATTATTTATCATGAAGTTTCGGAGGATAACTTTTTCTTCTATCATGAGAGTCAATTTCATAAACTCCAGGTAGTTTCCTCTGTGGCAGTTATATTTTCAAGTGTATACATAGGATTTTGTTATGGTTTAGCCTGGCAGGCATCTCAGTACCACACAGCCTCTCTCTTTCTTACCCTGAATGGGAAGGGGAAAGAACTAGAAAGGTACAAGTGCAAGAACTTACGAGTTGAGATAAGAACATTTTGCTATGTTAAGCCGAAGCTGCAAGCAAGTCAAAACAAGACATTAATTTTCTTACTTCCCATCAGCAGGCAGGTGTTCAGCCACTTCCCCACAAGCAGGACTCATCATGGTAATATTACTTGGGAAGACAAACAGCGTCACTTCACATTTCCCCCTTCCCTGTCCTTCACCTCAGCTTTTATTGCTGAGCATGATACCACATGATGTGGAATATTCCTTCTGTCTCCTCCCAGCTCCTTATGTGTCCCCAGACCCTGCACTGGCAAGACAGCACAAGAAGCTGAAACATTCTTTGCTCTGTGCAGCACTGCTCTGTGACAACTGAAACATCCGTGTGTGATCAACACTGTTGTCATCAAAAATCTAAAACATGGTGCCAAACAATCCTCTTTGAAGAAAATTAACTCTGTCCAAGCTGAAACAGAGGACAAATGTATGGTTTGATACTAGTTAGTTTTGTCTGGGATCAAACAATTTTAAATGTTCTTATGACACTGTAACAAAAATAGGGAAACCCAACTGTTCAGGTTTGGGTCATAAAATATCTGACTTTGTCATGAAGTCACTTCTGCAGTGGTTTTGCCTGTTCTCTCATGCTTATGTTTTACTGTGTCACTCGATATCAAAAGTAGTAATTAGTAATAATTGTATTATGTATTATTTATACTGCAGTAACTTATTTTAAAAAATAAAATGACCAAAAGCTAGTGCTAAATGGTTTACCATAGATTTCTTCATAGATTTTAAGACCAAAAGATACCATTGTAACATCATCTGTCTTCCTGATTATCCCGGGCCATGCTATTTCACTTAAGTTAGCCTTGCAGTAAATACATTACTTTACATCTAGCTAGGGTTTTGCTTCTGTAAATGTGTTCAATCCAGCCAGAAATCCCAGAATATGGAGGATGGATGGCTTTCTCTGGTCACTGCCTCTTGTCCTGTATTTGAACATCCTCTTTGTAACAAATTTGCCTTGTTTGTTTCCTGTAACAGAAAATCCGCTTTTAATATTGCACTAACTCACTCTCTCAAACAGTAATATCCATGCTGTACTAACAAATAACATCTAACAGGTATGTGTCAAAGAATAATAGCCTCTATTTGCTGTTAATATTTAAAAACATTGAATAGGTTTATGGTATTTGTTTTCTAAGTTTCCCAGGAGGAAGGAGCAAGAGCATCTTCATTCTGGCTGGTTTACCACAAAGAGGAGTTACTTGTAATGTTAGAGGTTTTGCCATGACTGTGCACCACAAATGTAAAGAAAAGAGGCTTTTGACTATTTTTGAATAGGCAAAAAGTAGCAAATACAGCTTAGGGTATTCTTCCCTTCCAAGCAATATTTGTGAGAAGTGCTGCTGACAGTTTGAAAGTATGTATATATTCAGCTATAAATATCAAATATTTTGGAGGACTTGTGCTATGTCTGATTTCATTTTGATTTATTAAAAGTCACTTCTTGTTTATCAGCACTGGAAGAGGTTACTGTAATGTAGTAATTTGCCAAAAGATACAGTGTGTACTATGAAGGAAGTTAAACCAGTTTTCTATCCAAGTCAGTTTTAGCTAGATTAAACTTCCAATGAAGATTGAGTGTTTCTATTATGAAAGTAGAAGAACTGGATATTAAACCTTTCATTTATCCCTGTCATTGTGAGCAATCACTGCTCAGCAGGATGCACTCCTTGTTATCTTTTAAGGACAAAAATATTATTAGATATTGTGGTCACTGTGCTTTAAAATATTATTCCCAAGATGGACCTTTGTAAGGGTAGTAAATATTTTAGGAGCTTTTTGTTGGCTTTTTTTTTGTGGGTTTGTTTTTTTTGTTTTTTGTTTTTTTTTTTTTTTACTTTTTTTTACTTTTGTGGGACACTGTGGGGAGCAAGCAAGTCACGATACCTGTTGTACATACTACTGATCTTGGCAATTCAGTACTTAAATATAGCACTGACATATCTTTAAATGTCCGAGAATTTTAGCAAGGATTTTAAAGAGAACTGCACAAAAGTTATGGTTCTTCAGTTAATCTTTCATTTATCTAAACGCTGAAGGAAGCTGTCTACTTTTGTGATATGAACTGCAATCAGCTTAAAAATAATTGACAAATTAATCCCTTCACAGAGCTGCAATTGTAAAGGTGTTAGATTTAGCTTGGCTTGTCTGATTGCCCTGTCTAATCAAGAGAAAAAGTGCTATCTTTGATGTTTAAGATTTAAAAGAGACATCCCTGACCTTACAAGCTAGTATATTTTAATTATCGATCCCCTCATTTCTGCCCACAAAAGCCTTTGTTCATTGATAGCCTCACACCAAAAGATTAAAATAAACACTTCTACCTGGGAGGTACATGAAGACAAGCAGGAATTTGAACCTTTGGAAAAGTTAACCCGTATTACCAATTTATATACCTACAATATAAAACAGCTTACATTCTTTTCTTCTTGTTATTAACTCTTAATTATCATTGCAGTCATGTTGAAAGCCACCATACAGTGGAATTTAATTTCAGGGTAATCATGGACTTCCTGCGCAGCATATGTAAAAGTATCAAAAATATACTATAAATTAATTGAAAAATGGAATCAATTTCCATTTTCCAAAGCCAAGAAAAATTTCAAACCTGTGTCTGCTTGAGTAACATTGAAGTAGCATGCTTCTGTTTCAAAATTCTCCCTTTAAGGTGGAGTTGAGCTGTTCTTTATGTAGGCTTGTTGTGTTGTTGTTGTTGTTTTTGTCTAAAAGAGCATCAAATTCTGAATGTTTTTAATAAATGAAGCCTACTGTATTAGTAGACAGCCCAATCCTGCAAGTCCTTCTAGGAGTCCAGTTTGATTATTTATTTAGCTTGCATACCATTGCCCTTTTTGTTCACTTTTTGCACATCTTGGATTCTTTTCTTCAATTGCAGGTGAATGAAGCCACAGTGGAGCAGCTGGTGCAGCAGTATCCACATATAACCTTCAGTACTGTTCTACAGGATTGCAAGCGGACATTGGAACGAGCTTATCAAATGGGCTGGACTCCCAACATGTCTACTGCCTCTTAATGTCATGCACCAACATGACACTTCCACTCTGCTGCTTTCAGTAGATCTAACGGGGACTGCAGAGGTTCACAACATTGTGATATATACAATGAATGCAATATAATTGTGAGTTTACAGAGGTTACAGTAAAATGGAAAAAGCTGTATACTGACTTTGACGTACTGTACAACTAAGTAATGGTATTGAGACAAAATTTTAGAAATGCATTGTATTTCTTTGTTTGACAGATTTCCTGAAGTGGATTCCTACTAGTTCTATGGATAGATTGAGTTATAAAAGATACAAAGCTTGGTTTTTTTTTGTGTGTGTTTACTCTACCTTGCCTTGGTTATGTGTGTTTCCTTTGATTTGTAGATGGTAACTCAGTGCTAGCACCAGTATAGCCGATCAGCAGAGGCCTGTGCTGAAACTGGGAGCTACACTCCATGCTTATTATTTACTAAAGCTACCCTAGGAGTTTTAAGATGCACAGTGTATAAGAAAATCTACGAAGAGCTGAGATTGTCTTACAGACTTTTCCGGAATTATGCAAGTCATTAGTAAATGACTAAATATGCATCTAATGGACAATCATATAATCATTGAGCCTAGAATTGTTTGGGTTGGAAGGGACCTTAAAGATCATCTCGTTCCAATCCCCCTTCCACAAATAGGTTGCTCAAACACCTTCTAATGTGGCCTTGAACACCCACAGCTTCTCGTTAACCTGTCCCAGTGTCTCATCACCCTGCTAAGAAAAGAATTTCTTCGTAATGTCTAATATAAATCTGTTCTCTTTCATTTTAAAATCATTCTCCTCTGTCCTATCATTACTTTTGTCCTTGATATAAAGAGTACCTGATAAAGAGTCCCTTCCCATCTTTCCCATCAGTCCCCTTTAAGTACTGCAAGGCAGCTGTAATGTCTCCCCAGACATTCACTTCTGCAGGCTGAATAACTTTAATTCTCTCAACCTTTATCACTTCACAGAAATTGTATCTTCTTTATTTTGTTTGTTTAAAATAGTCTTTTAGGAGATCTTCCACAGATTTTAAAATCTTTTCACACTGCAGGTTTTGCAGGAAGTGAGCTAACAGTGGTTGAACTCATACTGATAACCAGTTCCCACTTCATAACCAGTCAAGCAGGAAGTGAATACACCAACAATCAGATGTAAATTAAAAGACAGTGTTTAAATATCTGATTGAAAAAAAAAAAATGTTTCTTTTTTTTTTTTGTAAGTGGACTCGTCTCTTCTGACTACAATGCTATGTTGGTGAACTGGGCAATTCGAGTAAATGGTTAGAATACAATAAGATTTTTCTCAATTCATGTGTGGTTTTTATTTTACAACAGATCTTACAATGCAAGGAATACTTACCTCTAGAAGACATTCTGAACATGAGGTCTATTTTCATAGGTATTGTATGGTAGGATCACTTGCTTTGTAATACAGTGTATAAAAAAACACCAAGAGTAAGTACATTAAAAGATTAATTTTCTGTGTGTCACATTGCATTCTGAGGAGTTAATTTTGACATGGGGATAGTGAAAATATAGATACTGCAGTTTCAGTTTGAAGTTGCATTAAGTTTTAGAGTATTACTGTTTGGTTAAGAATATTTTTATGTGTATAACACTGGATATTTGTTTTTTAGGGGTAACAGCATTTTAATCCAAAGTATGAAATGCTTAAGCTTCAGCTGAAGAATTGCCATTATTATCAAAATGTTTTGCTAATCCAGAACGTCTGATGTAGTGTAACCTAGAGAGCTTATTTAGTATAGCTGCATAACTCTGTAAAACTGTAAGTTGATTTCCATGGCATAGTTTTTTACCAGACACATCAGCTCACCGTAATTCTGGTGAAGCTGTTGAATGTTTTCTTCTTAGACTTCTCAAAATGGGGATGAACTAATTTCTTTTAAAAAATATATAATAAAGTTTTTGCTTTAAATATGGTAAATACATGTGAACATGTGTAATGCTGGGCTTTCTATTTACTCAAAAATGGCAACAAATATTTTCAGAATAAAGCCAATGAATTATATTGCAGATATAGTACCGAATCTTAGTCATTTTCTTTTCATGACTTTCTATGACTGCATTAAAACTATTCACACAATTTGTAAGTTTCTATTTTTCCGTGAAACTTTGACCTTTCAATGGGTTGCAATAAAAGAAAGAATAAAAATCTGATGTCTTTCATCTGTGCTGCTACTGTACTTAGACTCTACCAAGAGAAAGAATGAAATTTCAATCTTGAATATGCAGAACTTATCTGGAGGTCCTGAGCAAACTGATCTAAGCAGCCCTGCTGTGACAGTGTTTGAACAGCTGAGATCCAGAAATATTTTTCAGTCTAACATACTCTGTAATTAACAGTTTTTTTGTGTATTTAACAGATGTAGTAAGTCATCTCTTGTCACTTCTGCTATTAAGCACTTCCGCTGTCACTTCCATTTGCATTTGACTGCTATTAATTTCTCCCGTATTTTTTTTCTAAACCAATCAGTCCAAGGTAGCATCTTTGCTGGCCCACTCCTCCTCACTTCACCAGGAATAGAGAACTCAAACACTTTTTGGTTGCTTTGCCCAACATAGCTTCTGACCACCACGTCTCCCTCCAGTCCTTCTCTGTTTGAAAACAGCTGGTCTAGAGGGGTGCTTCCCTGGTAAGTTCTCTTACCAGCTGTATTAGGAAGCTATCTTCTACATGCTACAGGAACCTAGGCTGCTTCTTCTACTGAATTCTATTTCCAGCATATATATGGTTGCCTGCAAGAATCGCGTGACTTTCGGAGCTGTTCATGGAATGCATAATCTGTCTTTCATCCTGGTTGGGTGGTCTATAGCATACTCCCTCTAGAGTATCAGCCATTTCGGCCGTCCCTCTGGTTTTTATTTTTTCATAATTCTCAGCATTCCCAACATTGAGATGTCCTCTAACATAGAGAATCACTCTACCAATCTTCCTTCCTTGCCTAACTCCTCTGAACTGCCTTTAGCCTTCCATTGCAGTACTCCAGTCATGAGAGCTCCCAAAATGTTTCAGTGATGACAACTGAGTCATAGTTTTTCTGCTGCACAATGCGTTCCAGCTCTGCTTGTTTGTTGCCCATGCTTTACATGCATTTGTATAGGTGCATTTCAGCTGGGCTATTGGTCTCACAAACCTTGTCATTGTTTTTCCAGACTAATATCTAGCAAGCCTTGTTTTATCCACTTTCCCTTTCAAATGTAATTAAAAGCCCTGTCAGTGAGCCCAAACAACTCCTAGCCTAGAATCCTTTTCCCTTTTGAGACAGTTGGACCCCATCCTTTGCCAGCAGGCCTGGTGTTGAATAAACCACCACATGATTAGAAAAACAAAAAATCTCTGATGACATCAGCCTCTTAGCCATGTGTTGATCAGGTGAGTTTTCCTGTTTGTTTCAATACATTTCCCTGCTACTGAAGAGGGTTGAGGAAAGCACCACCTGTGTTCTTTCTCCTTCAATTTACCACTCCAGTGTTCTTCAGACCTTTTTGATAGCCCTGGGGCTTCTCCTCACAACTTCATTATTGCCAACCTGAACTACCACAAGTGGAGAATAATCAGGTCGTACCAGACCAGGGAGCTTTCTAGTAATGTCCCTGACCTAGGCTCCAGAGAGTCAGCAGACATTCCTGTGGATTTGGTCCAGTCAGCATATCAGGCCCTCTGTTCCCCCTCAGGAGGGAATTACCTCTGACTTTTCCCAATATGGACCTTCCCAGGGAAATTATAGCACAATTGTCAGTAAGAAAACCTTGTGTGCAAGCAGCCTCTTAGTACAACAATTTGTTTTCAATCATTCACTCTTGTAAATCTAGACATAATTCTCATTCAACCCCAGTCAGATCATTTACTTGGTGGTCACTCTAACCACTTCTCATCATTCCAGAGGTGATGTGGATGAAACATCCTTACACAATTTGTCCCTGCATGAAAAACAGCCACGAGGATATTTTGCATAGAAGGCCAAATGCACTGAACACAGGCTCCCAGATGAGTAGAAGTTTAGCGAATTACTGAGTCCAAACAGGGATATCCTCCCTATGAGCATGTGCCCTGTACAGTACTAGGCAGCTTCTAGTCCAGTTTGAACAAAAAGTGAAAAATACCAAAAGTAAGGAAAAACTGAGTCTAGCATATCCATAGAGGGCTAGTAGGAATTACTTTCAGCATTCTCAGCACCATTACCCATTGCTGTTTCTACTGACTGCATAACATCATGTGGACTCTGTATCCCTATTGAGCTCACTGACAGAAAATATTTCTTCCCATTTAGGTCAGTAGAAGAGTTTGAGCAATCTTTGCTGGCTTCCTAGAGCTGCTAAATTTACTGAACTTGTAGTTGTGTCTTCAAAAAACAATTGACGTTATCAATTCATATTGCAGCATCCATATATGGTGCTGTTATGTGAGCTTATAATAAATGTAGACATTTGCAAACATGCTTCTTTTTTTTTTTTATTTCATTTGCTACAGAAGTCCAACGACCCTTACAATGACAATTAATCCTGATGGTGAAAAGTAGCATTGTCTGTACATACGCTTTCTTTACACACAAAAATACATCTGAAATATTTTGATGTATGACTATTGTATCTGATCTCAGAACTACAGGAGATGATACAAGTTGTTTACAATAGGATCTCCCTGTTTTTGAAAATAATTTGGATAAGAATTGGAAATTTCAATTATTACCTTCCTCTTGTTTTTGGTTTTTCTTTTTTTTTTTTTTCCTTTTCCCTTTTTTTTCAGGATCACAATGTTTTTATCTTTCATTGAGAAGTATAAGAATCAGAGTTTAATTTAGTTTTCAGATCGGAGGATGGGAACTGGAAAGAATTCATGTTTGTCCAAGTCTTGGATCAAGTTTGCAAGCCAGAAAAATAGGGGAAAAAAATCCCAAGCCTCTCCTGTAAGGTTGGTTATTAAACCTGTGTTATCTGAATGTTGTCATCTTTTCTCAGTCTTACTTGAAACATTGTAGACAGCTCCACTTGTAAAAAATATCTGTAATTCTGCAGGGGAAAAGACTGCGTTTAAATGTAGAAGTCTATCAAAATTAAGCTAAGGATTTACTGGTAAATATTTGCCTAAGCTCCCAAATCCCTGTAATCTCTTCTGCTTCAACTATTCTTGAGCTACTGTACCATCACTTCTCTCTGCTTCCAGTCAGTCTCACTCTGGCACTTAGCATTGAGCTGACAAGTGGGTGTATGCAAAGCAAAACACTGAGCTTTACAGACAGCTCCTCATTGATTAGAAAACTGCACAGGTTGTTTTGTCTATCTATCTATCTATCTATCTATCTATTTATAAAGACAGAGACGGAATTGAAGAAATAATTTATTGCTGGACATCAATTCCAAACCAAATGAAAATACTCAAATTTCATGTCATAAAAGGAGAAACATGAGAATATTGAGTGGAGAAGAAAAAACCTATTTTGTATCTATGATGTACGTAAGTTGCTTTGAAAGTAGTTTCTGCTACTTACTTCCATGGAAACTACAACAACTACAAAGAGCACAGTAACAGTAATCAACTGAGCAAATTCTCAGCTAAAAACACTATTTTTCAACATAATCACCACCATTAGCTCATTCTTGCAGATGAGCTGTCGTGTCAGAGCTGTGCATGGTCATTCAGAACATGGCTTATCTTTCACATTGCTGTCACCACTGCTGAAACACTAACTCACTGAACTCGTGTCCACTGTTTGGTGTCCATAAGTATTCAGCAAGTGTTGAATGTCAGTGGGTGCCATTTTTTCCACAAGGAGGAGTTTGGTGACACAGCTTTGTATTAAATGCACTTCTGTATCAGACTTAGCAGACATAACAGACCTAGACTGCCCCTCTGCTGCTATCTGTCACAAAGCAACAAAATGTAGTGGAATATTGGTGGAAGGGTTCAGCCTCAACTGTCATGCCAGTAATATCCACCTCTGATATCGTGGGCCATCAGAATCAATTGGGAGGCATTACTTCCAGAGCATCCCTTCTATTTCATATATCTAATGCCTCCAGGGTTCAATTAAGCAAGAATGAAAAGTATGTATGTATTGTATGTATGTTTTGTATGTTTTGTTTCATAACTACAGTTCAAAATTATTAGATAGTGAGGAAAAATGTCTGAAATTTCACTTCACTTCTATAGTCCACTCTATAGACAAGTAATTTTGGTCAAACTGACTGCCTCCACTAAAAATCTTCAATTAAACTAAAGGCATCAATTATCTCAAGGTGAGTACTTACACATTTGACAGCCACACTACACTCAAAGGCTTCACATGAAAATTGTTGTTCCTGTCCTGTTCTTTGCTTCCTACTTGTTCAGGAATTTAAACATAACATCCTACCCTTGAGCATTTCTGCTTTCCTTGACCCACTGCTGCAGGATGAAAAGGACACCAAAAGGCAAGGTGTCTGAGGAAGCAGAGCATTCCTGTGGAGTGGATATTACTAAACAGCTAAATTGGAAAAACCCTGCATGTCAGATTGCAGTGTGAAATATCTCAACCTAACTTCTCATACAAGTGAAATAGGAGGTTTATATTTCGACAGAGGAAGGAGAATGGGAAATGAGGCCAGTATGAAAGTTAGGTACAAGAACTCACTGATTATTCATTAAGGAATACTTATATCAAGCTTGCCTGTCCTGCTTTGTATGGACTGCTCATTAATCTTTCAGTATACCTTTAAGTCTTTTGTTTAATTCAGAATACTAAATGATTTGAGATTCCTCACCTCCCTATGCTTTGTTCTGTGCATATATTGTCCATAGTTGCAATAATTTAGATTAACGAAGTTGGTGAAGAATAGTTGAAAGCTCAGCTGTTCCTCTGGCTCTTTATCTGTATTAGGTTTAGATTAACACAAATAAATAGGCGAAGTCCAACCACTGCCACTGTGGTCGCTTAGCTGGAGAAGTTTTCACTTCTGCAAGAATGCAACACTGAAATAAGGCTCTCTGAAAGAGTTGCATTTCCACAGCTGTTAACAAACTTTGGCCAAGATTTTTATTTATTTTTTCTAGCTTTTTATTTATTTATCTAGCTTTGTTTTGTTTTGTTTTGAAGTTTTCCTACTGGGATTATATATCAAAGTAATTTCTGGGGGAA